AGTTGCTCTGCCCCGGGCTTCCTGGAATCAGCTGCTGATCAGTTTCAGCAGCAGCTGACTTGGGGACGCCTGGGGTTCTTAAGTTGAATCTGTATGTAAGTCAGAACTGGTGTCCAGATTCAGCGGCTGAATCTGGATGCCAGTTCCGACTTACATACAGATTCAACTTAAGAACAAACCTACAGTCCCTATCTTGTACGTAACCTGGGGATTGCCTGTACATACATGTCTACAAATAAGGTTGGTTTCTTGATCAAGGAACATTCCATTATTAATGCTGGAAAAATTCATCTGGATTAAACGAACAACATTGTATTACATAAATTTGTTGCTCATTGCAAAGTGCTGCTGAGTATTCATCCTTCACTGCCCAAATTTGCAAATTAGGTCCCCATTTGCTTTAAGATGGTCATATAACAATGAGAGTTTATATTTTTCTGGACACAGCCTATATGTTTTGTAGACAAGTACTTCTTTATAACATTTTTTCTTAAAGGAAATTTGGTTTTCTAAAAGTTAATGGGTGGATGTTGAATTAAACTACAATGTGCTACAATGACTACTGTTCAGTCATTATTGCTCAGTCTTAGTGCAGATGAGCAATTTACTATAGCAGAGAACAAGAGTTTATATTTTTCTGGACACAGCCTATATGTTTTGTAGACAAGTACTTCTTTATAACATTTTTTCTTAAAGGAAATTTGGTTTTCTAAAAGTTAATGGGTGGATGTTGAATTAAACTACAATGTGCTACAATGACTACTGTTCAGTCATTATTGCTCAGTCTTAGTGCAGATGAGCAATTTACTATAGCAGAGAACAGTTCACTTTCCAAGCATCATTTGGTTCTTGACTTTTCTACTAACATTATCTGAAACTAAGTTGCCAGATATGGTAGAGGTTTTTTGATGCAGGCACACTTCTGTGCATGAACAGTAATAAAAAAAACTAATTTATTTCGTACAGGCCACCAGATTTGTGAATGCTTGTGTAGGCACACTTCTGTGCATGAACAGTAAGAAAAAAAAACTAATTTATTTCGTGCAGGCCACCAGATTTGTGAATGCTTGTGATCAGCTAGGTTTTGGGTTTTAACTAGTAGCACAGAAATGAAAACCTCTTTTCCATTTTCAGTATTCTGAGCAAATTAATTCTTATAGTTTTATGCTTTTCTATCTGTAAATCCTTCAGCTAGCAAAGGATTCTTATAGTTTTATGCTTATCTATCTGTAAATCCTTCAGCTAGCAAAGGATTCAGGGAGCCAACTGGTTATTCTAGAGGAAGAGAAGAAAAGATTGGTTGAACTGTTGAAAGATATAGAAGATAATAGCAGTGAACTTCAAGGCATTGAGGTATGTACACTGACTCATGACTGGACTTTCTTGGATGTTTATGATATGGAAAGAGAGGTAAATATTGAGGCAAAGTTTGCACATGATACAAAATTATTCAAGTGAGTTAAGTTCATAGTACACTTTGAAGAGTTACAAAAGATTCTTATAACATTGGGTGATAGGGCAACAAAATGGCAGATGAAATTCAATGTTGGTAAGTATATGGGCATTGGGTATAATAGGCCAAAGGAGACGCTGCTGCATCTGTGAGGCCTCCTATTCCGAGGTTGTGGTGAAGTTATTATTTTATTATGCCCCACGCAGGTTCTAGGGTGCCATATGTGTTACTCAGCTTTCTGGGTTCCTCTGGGAAATTACTGAGGAACCGGGGAAGCTGAGTAGCACATGCTGCTGCCTCAGCTGCCCCGGAACCTGCATGGGTCATATCATATGTGTCTCTGAAAAGACACATTTGCCTGGGGCAGGTTGAGTCTGGGGAGGGGAGGTGCAGCTGTGGCTGGCTCTGGGAAGGTGTGTGTGGTGGGGGCAGGAGGACTCCTTTGGACAGGTTGGTGGGGGGACAAAGCTCCTCAGGCTGAGTGGAGGGGCAAAGGGTCCCAGAGCTCCAGCTGTGTGGTGTGTGTGTGTGGGCAAAAGAGATGTAGCTGCGGGCTAACCTCCCCAAAGAGGGGGCTCCATCAGTTACCCATTATGAAGTACACAGTAATGCACATTACTATGCATACTCCCACCCAAACATACAAAATGGTGGGGTCTACATTAGCAGTTATGACTTGAGAAAGAGATCTTGGGAGTCATTGTGGATAGTTCTCTAACATGTTCAATGTGCAGTGGCAGTCAAAAAAACTAACAATGTTAGAACTATTTGTAAAGGAATAGCTAAGGAGAAAGAACATATCATAATGCAACTACAGCCTCTCTCTGACTTACGAACTGGTTACAGACCAAGCAATTGGTCGTAACTCGGTTTGTTCATAAGTCAGACCCCATTGAGTTACACGTGACTGTGCTGTTTGTAAGCGCGGATCACATTCGTAACTTGGGGTCCGCCATTTACGACAGTTTTGGTTGTAACTGCGAACGGTCAGAATTCGACCGTTTGCAACTCGGGGACCGGCTGTATATAAATATGTGGCATGCCCACTGCTTCAATACTGCGCCTAGTTTTGGTTGCCTCATCTAAAAAAAGATTGAATTTTTTTAGATTCAATTGAATTTGAAAGGATATGGATAAAGGCCACAAATATTAATAGGGGGTTGGAATGGCTTCCGTACAAGAGAAGATTTAAAAGACTGAGGCTGGCCATCTTAGAAAAGAGACAACTAAGGGGGGATAGAATAGAGCTCTATAATCATATGAAGATAGTGAATATGAATGTGTTATTTATCTCTTCACAAAAACCAGGGGTCACCCAATTAAATTAAAAGCATTAGGTAAGTATAATGTTGATAGGGTTGCCAGATGGTTTCAACAAAAATACCGGACACACTTGACATTACATCACAATCTACATTACATCTTACTTAGAAAATGCTGGACTTTTATATCTCATTCATATTTTCTCAATTTGTTTCCCAAACAGCTCAAATACTGGACTGTCTGGTTCAAAACCAGACTCCTGGCAACCCTAAATGTAAAAGTTATAAGCATATACTGTGGTAACACCATCAACTGAATGGGAGTGAGATTGACATTAAGCAATATCTGGTCGTATAACTGTGTTACAGTTTGTACCATTGAAACATTATATGATTATATATTTCTTATAGAATACGTGACGTTGTGATGTACTAGGGCAAAATTCAGACTAGTGAGGGAGTGCCCTGCAGCTATGGGTGCCTTACAATGCCTTGCTCTAGTAGCTTCCGTATAGGTCACTTACAAAGAACGTTCTAGCATGCAAGCCGCAGCCTGAGTGTCATTGTGTATAAATGCAGAGCTACACTCTGGCTCTAACCAGCCTTGGTTGTACTGCATGTGACCCCAGCCCACCCTCATTTTTGGATCTTCCCCCAGAAATATACTATGGATAAAACTGTAAAACAAGTTTATTAACTGTAAAGAGATTTTAAGTGGGTGTGAGTAATGACGCATAAAAACCAGAAATGATAATGAGAAAAATAAAGATCAAATGATAATAGTATCTATTTAAGATACTATCTTAGTTACAAAGTAGAATTTCTTATCACGTTCCAGAATACTGATCAACTTTCAGATCAGGATCCCTCCTGCAAAGTTCAATGTGCGGTTCCTTTTGTCTTAGAATCATAGAACTGGAAGGAACCTCGAGCGGTCATTAAGTCCAGTCCCCTGCACTCATGGCAGGAACAAGCACCATCAAAACCAGGGTGGGCAAGATGTGGCCCATGGGCCAGATGCAGTCCACCAAGCTGTTGGATCTGGACCCTCAAGTGCTTTAAGTGGCTGGCTGCTCCCTGTGTCTCTCTGCTCTGGCAGGTGGGAGTGGGAGCCAATGGGAGTGGAGAGATTTTGCTGGGGCAGGTGCAGCACATGAAGCCTTCCTCCCTTCCATCCACCCTACCCTGAGCAGAGAGGCACATGAACAAAGCAGCCAGCTGTCTTGAGTATCCTGAGACTGCTGGCAGTCAGGGAAGCTGCTTCAGAGTCCTGCAGGGCTGCTTGCTTGGAGCTGTCAAGATACGTGTGCCTCCTGGCCAGAACCTGCTTCTGGCACCCCACCCCCTCTCTGAACCCCAACTCCCTGCTCTAGATTACCATGCAAACCCTAACCCCCTCCCAACCCAGGTCAAAACTTCCTCCCAGATAGTGCTCCCTCTCCTACATCCCTCCCCCAGGCCAGAATCCTCTCCTGCACTCATACCCCCTCCCAGATCCTGCCCCCCAGTCCCTTTGGAAAAGAGATTTCTTGTCATTTACAAGTTTTGAAAAATTCTGTGTCAGACTAGTTTGACTCAGACTTGCAAGAATGTAATCTTTCTCAAATATTCTAAGAGAATAATAATAATAAGACTTGACTATGCTGTTGGAAAAGCATGTTCTGATTTTATGAACTGGAAACTGGCAGTAGGAGTCTGAGAGAGAAGTTTCTTTTTATAAAAAACTTAAAATCGATAGGGCTGTTTTGAGAGTACAAGAGAGATTATATATGTATTGAACTTGCTTGTAGATGTTATCTTGACATCATAACATGCTATTTAAAATTGAAACTAGTTATATTGTGTACTTCATTTCCATGTAATTCTTCATTTCGTCAGCAAGCTGCAGCCTGGTGTGACATTTTCATTAATTGGCTACAGAAGGGGATTTTGTGACTTCCTTCACTTTCTGTCAGGTTATGCAGTACATTATTGTTTAAGGAGCCCTTAGAGAACCAAATTTTGACCTGCTGAGGTGACTTTTATTTTTTGGACATGGACATTATATATTGCTATAAAAAAACAGTAAATTTTGCTACTAATCTGTTGGTTGTGTGTTGAATTTAGTTTGACATACTCTGCTAGGGGTTTTTTTAGCCTTATTTCAGGTTTTTATCATAATAGTATTGCAGACTTCCTCAGAGTTCTGGCAACTCTTTGGTTGCTATTAATTCCATGTGTATTCCCTTACGTAATTCATGTTTTAGCCTGCGATATATATACAGGCAGTCCCCAGGTTACGTACAAGATAGGGACTGTAGGTTTGTTCTTAAGTTGAATCTGTATGTAAGTCGGAACTGGTGTCCAGATTCAGCCGCTGCTGAAACTGACCGCCAAAAAGCCGCGTTCTTTCGATTTAATTTCAAAAGAACGCAGCTGTAGTCTAGACGCAGGAGAAGTTTTTTCGAAAAAACCCTTGAGTCTGGACACAGCCCAAATAACTATTTTCTCCACATCAACTTTTCCAAATGATTAGAAGTGGCAAGTTATTCAGTCCCCCTCAGACTCTTTGTGACTGTCATGAGATTTTTTTCCCTGAGTTTGGGCCATGTAAAACCCAAGTGAGGGCTCTGGGATTTGGCCCTAAATTTACTCATAACACGAATGAAGACAACAGAAACCAAGGATAAGTCATGGGAGGAAGAAGGTTAACAATGGCATGTTTTATATAAGGTTTATATGCACTCTCCACTATCACCCCACATAGGATACGTCTACACTGTGGAGCTATTTCAAGATATCAGGAGGGAGCTATTCTGTGTCTATTGAAGCAGCCCATTATTTCAAAATAGATTTAGAAATAATGGGTGGCTGATTCCGATGTCCTGGTAACCGCTGTTCCACGATAGTTAAGGGGCATTTTGGAATACATGCAGTCCCCGACTTACGCGGATCCGACTTATGTCGGATCCGCACTTACGAACGGGGCTTTCTCGCCCCGGAGGTCGAGGTGGCGGATTGCTGCCTGCGAGCTCCGGGGCGAGAAAGCCCCGTTCGTAAGTGCGGATCCGACATAAGTCGGATCCGCGTAAGTCGGGGACTGCCTGTAATCTGTTTTTGGATAGAGAGATATCATCAGGAAAAGACAATAGTAAGAGTTTGCAAGGCACTATTTCTGGCATGAATTGTACTGAATTAGGACTGATGAGTATATTTGTCTCAGATTGCATCTTAATAACTTTCTTTACACAGTTGATTTATATAGGAGATTGGTTTTAAAGAATTTTCACTAATCAGTTCAAAAACTTAAATTTAAAACATTTTAAGTTTAATTTAAAAAAATACAACATGTCAGAACTACGAGCCACCTTGAATATTTTAAATAGAAAAGCGGGATAAAAAGATTTAAATAAAGAAATAAATACTCTAAGATGTCATTTTTAAGTTATACCAGTTTATTGTTTAGACTAGAGTAATAAATTGCTACATTTGGGTTTTTTTCCTTTACTAGTATCATTTCATGGATTAATACATTTGTCTACCAAAGATTATGGATGCAGTCCTGCAAGATCCCCAAATGCTGAATGCCTACTGAAATCCAATGAGAATTCCATGTTCATAAAGCTTGCAGGCTTAGGCCTTTTATTGAAGCACTGCAT